TTTTTTTTTTTTTTCTGATTTGGGCATACTGTTCATTGTTTTCTAATTGTTTTCATTTATGGGAATTATCCTTCAGTCAGTTTCGCATCAGTTTGCCAAAGCGTGTAGTTTCACTTTTTTATCATTGTTAACAGAGAATTTTTTACCACTTAGTTTTTCTTCCATCTTTTCAGCCTTTTAGACATATCTGCACGGGGGCCCCACCCCATCCCTCCCCACCGTACCAAAAATAAAAGACGTAAAAATAAAGAAGCAATCATGCTAAAACAATCTGATCTGTTTGGCCATTTAATTTGGTATAGTGCTTCGGATCATATTGAAATGCTAGTTTAAATTCCGTTTTTGGCTTATGAGATGTGATATATGTTGTCATGAATTCATAATTGAGTTATTTAAATTCAATGAAACGTTGATGTTCTGGGAGATTCAAACTTTATTGACGCATATCTAGGTCTAAAGACACATTGGTTATAATATGCAACTAATTTAATCATAAAAATGATTACTATTAGTATTATTACCTTTTTTTTGGCAGGCCAACGATGTGTTCTTAAGATGGACCACCATTGCATATGGGTGGTAAACTGTGTTGGTGCCCGTAACTACAAATTTTTCCTCCTATTTGTGGTGAGAATAAATTATTTTTGACCCATTGTTCTGAGATCTTCTGTTATAGGAATTTGAGTGAATAACTAACCGTGTTATTTCTGGAATTATATATAGTATCTCCATGATGTCCTTATCTTAGTAAGTTTATATCTAAGCATGGGAGGGTGCAGTTAAACTTTAACAGACGAAAGTCTTGATCTGTTTACTAATTTGTCTCACTATCACGTTCCAGATCATATTGAATAGACAGTCTTATTTCTGCTCCTCATGGCTAATGTCTATTTCTGCTTCTGAACATAAAGCAGAAAAGGAATGTTATTCACCCATTCTTGACTTGTCCTAAGCTCTCTGCAAAGTCTTGCAACTCATGAAAATGGTTATTCGAACTCTCACTATATTTGAATGCTACCCATTCTTGAGCTGTCCTAAGCTCTCTGCAAAGTCTTGCAACTCATGGAAATGGTTATTCGAACTCTCACTAGATTTGAATACTATCAATACTGTACATTTCCAATCAAGAAATTAACTCTCGGGCATTTGAGTTGTATCTGTAACTGTGTGCTGTACTTATCTTCCATGATTAATGTATGGGCTCGAACCTTCGCAAATCTATCGTATAAGAATTTAAATCTGCATGCAACTAACTTTATTTGGCCAAAATATGAAGACTGTTACCACTGTGGCTTTTTATATGTTCTGATGTTTGCCATTTCTAAATGTACATTTCTAAATATATCCTTGTCTTATTGCTCCTCCCTTCCTGGATCTAATATATGAACACTGACCTATAACATTTTTTATGTTTGTAGCTTTATACTTTTGTGGAGACTGTATTGGACACCCTTGTGCTGCTCCCTGGTTTCATAAAATTCTTTCGACAAGCTAACCATCATTCCAGCTCAGCTGGCAGGCTGGCGATCACATTTTTGGCCTTTGGTAATTTTCTTTTGCACTGATCACGATAGTATCTCCGTGCTATTACCGGGTTCTCATACCTTTTAATGTTTCTTACAGATTCCATAATCTGATGCAGTTTTGAATCTAGCTTTTGCACTGAGCCTTCTCTGTTTCGTGGTTATGCATGTATCCCTGGTGCTGAGCAACACAACTTCTGTGGAGGTGAACAATAACTTGCTGCCGCATCTAATGGCTAGTTCTTTTTACATTGTTTCTGTATCATTTATTGTTATTTTTATATTTTAATTTTTTTAAGTATGAATCCTATGGAATGTTGGTATATGGTGGCCCATACGTATATAAAATTTTCTATGTAATTATCTTCACTAGTTTTCCTACTCGATGTCCAATAAATTAGGTGCATATTTGTTAGCTTATTGTTACAGTTCGTTAAATCATGCAAAGTTTTATGTTAAATAGGTGTGACTTCTACCAGATGCATTTTTCTTGACTGCCTTTTGATTGAAGTTGCAATATTTACTATCCATCATTGTTTCAGGTTCATGAGAAGAAAAAAGCTGTTCCTTGGAAGTATGACTTAGGATGGAGAAAGAACATTGAACAGGTCAGTGCAATATTTTATTTTATTATTTTTTTTTTTATCAAACTGTGTGAAACTTCTAAAGTTTTAAGTGACATGTCATAACGTGAGTCAGTCGAGAAATCGAGATTTTCCAGGTAGGGAATGTGAAATATTCCTAAACGAGAGATTTCTTTCTATGTACATACCGGGAGGAAGGAATTTTCCATATAACATATACTGACGGATTCAAAATCAAAATACGAGAATTCACGTGATCTTCTCGTGCACCATGACTGAGGAAACACATGCTTTGCTAGTCTTAATCAGTTATTTCTCTGCAATTTTTGTGAATTTAGCTCAAGTTTAGTATTATATATAGGCAAAGAAATCGTTATACCACGTGCCTTTTCAGCAATTTATTGTTCTTTCGTCTAGGTTTTTGGCACAAGAAAGGCGATGTGGCTGGTTCCCTGGTTCTCGAAAGAAGACTTGGAGAAGGTGCCTGCTCTCCATGGTCTAGATTTCCCGACGCGCTCTGATATCAACAGTGTATAGTGTATTGAGTTGCTGGAAAATGGCGGTTCTCATGTTTGTGATGTTTATCTGCCAATTGAAAGAGGCTTGGTGGAACTTGTTTGCGAATGTAATGTAAAAGTACAAAGGATTGTTTGAATTGGTTTAGTTTGCAGAGTCTTGAAAGAACATTGTTTGGTTATGTCCCTTGATCTAAAACTTAAGCCAGGAGAGGAAAAAAAAAATTCAAAATGTTATAAAACAAAAAAGGAAAGAAATTTGAAAATCTATATCTATATATATATATAATATAATTACTAGCATTTAATAAAACATTTAATAAAGCCTATTTTCAATTCTCTCCAAAAGGAGTTACATTTTCTTAATTAATTACTCACTAATCTGCTAACACCGTTACACTTTAATATATATATATATATATATTTATATATTAATTATTTATTTTTTGGATCAGTTATTAAATTAATTCTAAATATGGTAGCAAAATATTCAAATGTGTAACGGCTAATGTTGGAACTTAAAGTTGATTGACACATTCAGAGTTGTAACCGCTATATTTGGTTGCATTGTTGTAAGAAAAATATGATTGACACATTTTTTTTTTTTT